CTACATTGCATGAGTGTCTGGCCATCGACTCCTTCAGAGGGGAGGTCAACCCTCGAAGTTGCCCCTTCCGAGTAAGCAGTCAGTTGTTCCTATTCTACCTACAACTCCTCGATAACCTCAGGTCCTCATTATCATCATCCTTGTCTACTGTACACAGTGCATCTAGTTTGACATCAACATTGGCATCAAGTAACGATCTCGAAACTTCGTATAACATGTTAGAGTCCGTCGAGGATCTAAGAGTTACCGATTATGCAGCGACTTGGTGGTGACCAATCTGAACAAGTGAGGAGGGTGTACGTGTCACCGCAGTTGACTGTGTTCGACTCTGTTATATGAGAGCCCTTTTTTTACGAACTCGATGACGTTTTGGTTTGTCCCTGAAACCTTATAATTTGGCAACACTGTTTTACTGTCTAGTTTCTGTTCAGCTGGGACTATTATGAATGTCGCTGCCACATTGAGATTCAGACATTCATCTGTACTATCATCACTACTCTTAAGCTTAGTCTTACTCCTTATGATGAGAGATGTGCCTTGCTATCCTCCACGTTTTTGTATACCTATATAGGAGATTTGCTCGACCTTACCTTACTCGGCGTGGTGTGGTAAATTATATAATTCTTGGAAATTCGTTAAATACCCCACATTTGACAGTCTTGAAGACAGAACTGTCCTGAGGCCTCTGAGATCTCTGAGGTCCGACATTGTCATCAGTCTGTAGTAGTGTGATGCAGCCTTCGTACCAATTCAGTACTACTATATATATCATCAATTGATATCATTTATTCTCCCATTAATATAATCAATACTGGTATTCCCCGTTGACGTTCAGGCACCACATCGCCGCGACATAACCTGAACTTCCTCAAGGCTCGTCCTGTGGCCGTCGTATATTCTGAAGTAGTCTACATATGGTTTGTCCTTTTCGTTATCACTGATATTCTGCTACATGTATTATTATTACTTCTGTCAACTTCGTCAAGTCACTCGAAAACATTTACGCAGTCACAACCTGTTGGTCCATCGAAACAGCTCTTAACTGGTGCTCTTTCGAACTGTATAATTCGCCTATGTGTGTCAATGTCGAAGAAACTGCTGAGGTGAGTTTCTCATTTTCCGCATGTTTTCTATCAGTTGTTTGCCTTGTTCAGATCTGTGTGCTCATTTCTGACGCATCATCCTCCAGTCGGGTCAGTGACCTAGTTTTATCGAGCTCAGCAAAAGCAGCAGCTTACATTGGTCACATTTTACCACCATTTTCAGACGGAGGTCGATTTCTGAAACCCATTTTGACCGCGTGGTACATCTGCACCCTTGAGTACCGGGATGGCTCGGTCGTCGTCGTCTTCATCATCATCGT